CCGGAGGGAGGGAAAAAACCCTTTCGATTGTAATAAGAACGCATGGGCTGTTTCAGTTCTAGGACAGGAATGGAAATGCATTGGCTGAATGCAAACAAAAGCACATACCCGAAAAACTCTTTCAGAATAGCAAAACTGCTCAATAAAGCAAATTTTTCGGGGCTGAACTCGATAGAATCTGACCGAAGTGATCCCGTGCGAGGAGATCAACGAGAATTAATCAAGGAAAGGGCCGGGTAGATGAGATGGGGTGAAGGAAACTGTCTTTAACACGAAACTACCCCTACGTGCTTGCGCACGTTAGTTTAGATATCTCATCAACCATAAGAGTTCGTATGCATTGGAGCGAGAAAAAAAGGATGGACTGCGAGTGAATGACTCAGTACGTGAGGGTAAGATCCGGCTCCATTTTCATGTNAAGGAAGAAAACAATGGGATGGATGTGCACCTAATTTAACCGTTATTATTAAACAATGTGGCCCGAGATCGGTACTCGATATGGATACATGTGACTTTAAAGTGAGAAAATATGGGTGTCGTATGACTTCAAAGGAGTCAGTTCAGTGGTGAAAGTTGTTTTACAATTTTAGTCAAATTAATAGGAAACATTATCTTCATCTGACAAACACACATCTGAATACATGCAGTTACGAATCAGTTACCTGTAGAACACCGCACACATGCACAATCAAATAAAGAAACACGATCTCGAAGACAACAACCGCAAACGAATTTGCCGTTTTCCTTGCTTCGTGGATCAATAGTCAAAACAAGTCTTGCAGTAGACAAAAGTAATCACACTGCTTGCGGACACAAGAACCACACTATTTGCACAACAAATATAGTCAAAACCTTTTCTTTCTTCTTCTCCTTTTTCCTTCCTTTTATTGAATATATATATATATATATATACAAAGATATTTACAAAGATACAATTTTTAGAAAGGGGGAAGCGGACAACACTCAATTGGGGAAGGTCAGACCGTAGTGATAGGGTTGCAAAACACGTCCTCCGTGGTGATAATTTATATAATTTATATATAGTGACGTTACAACGGGGCCACCGCTACCTCGCGAGAGAGGCAAAATTCAATACCGCCTATTTATAAGTACTTTCGAGATATGGGGCATTCATCAAATCCTCTTCCATCTCATATTCATCCCCCTTTAACGGTGCTTGTGATACTCGCTGACTTTCCAAACCTAATCGAGACAATATGGGTGATACATGGTTAACGAATCACCACTTGTTCGAATTTTACCCCCAGAAGACAGAAAGATAGACTCAATGCCTGGGGTAGAAACTGATCGTCAGGTAGAAAAGAGCCCAATATACCGGAGGATGTGAAATTACGCTGTAGTGCTATACGGTCACACAACTCGAGAGTGGGTTACCAAATATGGAAAAAGATCATAGCTGCCAGTATCTTGTAGAAGCTCAGATGGCACAGTACACGCTATACGTGGGTGTCACAACCAGCACACATCGAGTAAAATTGAACAGTTTAAAAAACAGAACAAAAATTGTACGAAAAACCTGCACTTGAGAAAAGACAAGGAATTGTTGTAATTAATAGGCAGTTGTACGATCTCTAGAGATAAGTGTTTTGCGTCAGTATTTCGGACCAATTGCAGCTTCGCGTAACAGAACATGCGAACCACGAAAACCTAATGATTATGTGGACTTTCCCGAAACCAAAGCGCCCAGATTCAGAAGACCACAGGGTTCAAAACTCGATGTTGAACGGTTACGATTACAAGAAAGTTTGCGTTCATCTTACGGGAGAATTAGGTTTGGACATAAAAAGGGGAATAGAATTTATTGTGTGTATTGTGTGCGTCCTGAGTTAACCTTCATTGTCCTACCGTAAACTGAGGACAATGTGCCTGATCCTGACCGCTGGAGGAGGAGAGAGGAGCACGAAGGAAATTTCTGCGATTTTCTTCATACAGATAATTTTGGCCGGATGAGGACAATTGTACGGAAGCATAAATTGAAAACAATCTGATTTTCTCGATTGCAGCACGGAAACTCAATGCGCAAAAAAAAAATCACACGGAGCCCGTTTTTCTTCGCGGCACATAAAGTCATCACTTGAGTGCTGCTGAAACCGGTGACCAACAAACAGACGGTGGAAGTGTCAACAGTCAGAAAGATGAAGGCAGAGCCCGAAAAAAAAACGTTTATTTGCATTCGGAGCGCAGGGGCAGTGAGACTTACTTGCATCGGGGTAGATTCAGCCGACAAAGAAGTGAAACCGACAATGTCACTGAAATAGATGGTGACCATTTCAAAACTTTCTGCTTGTACGGTCTTCTTGCTGATCAGTTGGCTGGCCACGGATCTTTGGATTGAATGAAAAATGGAAACGAATTGCGGAACAGATGAAGTGTTGAATATGCGGAGGAGTTAGCAAGGGTTGAGTTTTGTCATACGGAGATTATGAATGAGACATGCGTTGGACGTTTCTTCTTCAACGTAAGCTGACCCAAAAACTGTTGTTTCAGCTGAACTGATTTATCCTGCTTACCAATGCAAACTGGACCAAAATACCTGAACTAATACACGCAATACACGTAATTTGGTCTGATGAGACTGTGGCGAACAGAACAAACAGACTTGTCGCGTCCAGCCAAACCAAAGGTGCCTTGTCATCGTCTGTAAACTACAGACATTCGGAGGCATGTGGTTTAGTTTCCACGATCTGACAAATGGATTTGTCAATTGCTATCGTGCCAGTTGACCCGTTCTCATCGAAATAAAGTGCGATTGAATCATAGCTAAATTTTCTTCTCAGCAGTATGGTTTTGACCCCGGACCATTGAGTTACCTTAACCAAGAGGAAGTTCACTCAAGCAAAGGTTTAAGTGAGTCAAATTCAACAAATTGAGTTGTAATCCTGTCTTCATCGCACGATCAGTGACCGAGTTAATTGCCTCCATGGCTCAGTGGACCATAGTTCCCGATAATGAAAGAGTGATTTGAAGGGATACATCACGAGGATTGTGGTATACATTGTGTTAATTCCAATATCTCTTTGTGGTATAATGTACCAAGCAATCCCAGTAGAAGGGAAATAGAAAGCGAATGTACTATTTTCAGAGGCATTCGGAGAAAGATCGTCGCCGGTTCATACGCCTCGTATCCAATTCTGTGGCTCATGCCTGGTCCAAGAAAGCTCTCCTCGGATTAAACGTTTCAAGCAGAGCAAGCCTAGGAGGAATAACTGGGGCCTCCCTAAAGCATAATTGATTGTGTCGTCCATTAGTTGCTCAAACGAGGACCTGGAATGAGGGTATGAAAACCCTAACCGGGAGACTGGTTCTTATCGGTCCCGTTAGACTCCCTAGCTGAGGACCCCGAGATGATGGTCACCAATGGTTAGAGACACTGAGTGGATTGGTGTCACAAACGGTGGCACTCATGAATCCACTCATTATTGTTATAACATCAATCAGGATAAATTCGCTACCTTCCGCTTGAAGTTGCTCCCAACATTCTAATCGTCATTCTGCCGTTTTATCTAAACGGGCAACCAAAAGACAACAACCGAAACTGGCGTACGAAAGTGCGTGGTTAATGGTTGTTAGAACTGAACTGAACATGTTGATTGGAGAGAATGTAAACCATGGATCTGTATCATCCTACCATTTGGCACATCTCGTATGGTTTCGGTGTCTTCGTCTAAAATATACTCACAAAAGACACCCGCGTAAGTACACCTTTTCCCATCACGCTTCAACTAAAACCGGCAATCACGGAGCCTCAATCATTGTTATTATGTCAAATGTTTGGGCTTTGATAAAAGTAGTGAGAGTGCATTTTGTCAACAGTGTTTATTATCCTCGGACAGTTAACTTATCCACCTCTAGAAAACGGAGTTCACTTTAAGTGGTCAGCAGTCACCTTTTTGCGGTATCACTTTTTGATTTATTTCAGGGTTTGTAAATGCAAAACACTATGCAGTTTGCGTTACATTTGAGTTTTTTTACTTACAGTGGAAGCGCATTCTAGATGAAAACACTGAAGCCATAGGAGACGTACCATATGGTTTGGAGATTCAGGCGTAGCATTTAAACTCCCTCCATTCAACATGTGGCGCAGCTAGTGATCGCCACACCTCATTTCTTAACCGAGCTTTTCAAGATCAGCATTTCTATGGAATAAAATGTTTCAACACTCATTGACCTCAGCATATTCCCACACTTTTTGATCTGATTCACCTACAGCGGTATGACTGAAGTTTGTGCTTCGGGACTAAAGGACTACGAGTCGTGGTTGGAGCACTGGGAGTTTGGGCTGAAGCTTAATGGTAAAAGGTGTCGATCATTGTAATTATCCTCCAAAAGTGCTTCATCAGGATGCCGAGAAAAATAGATAGGTCACAAAATTTTGTTGCAAAGTGTATAACTGGTTAGATAAAATGAACGAATAAGGGTCATTTATACATTTTTCATAGTCAAGCGGAATCAGTCCCCCAAAATTTACATAAATAAGAAGAAGTTATTGGGGAATTTCTGAGAAACCTGAGGTATCATGCAATAAAAGTCAAACAGATTATAGTTAGAAGTTGACTGAATTATTTTTGGCATGATCCAACAATAAGCTTGGGTAGGACGCTGCGTACAAATATATTCTTTGGTATGCGAACTCTCAAAGACAGAAGATCAGGTTCACTGTCTCTCGGGTTTGAGTTCGAAGTAAGCATGATCCACCAGCAAAGTGACTTGCAAACTCCCAGGTTCGGCCCTTACCAGGGTCAATCCTCTGTCTAGCAGCGGCCAACTCGGCTGTTGTACGGTATGATGCGCATTACAATACGACTAGAAAGTCTGAACTTCACGACCTAGAGGGCTTATTATCTCCACTGTGTGTGTGTGTGTGAACACAGGCATTCTGTGCTATTTTATAATCCACATTAATGAGAAGGTTACTTTTAAATCATTGCATTATTAAATCGATCATACGGTACCGACCGTTTCAAATCAAACCAAAGTCATTTAATATTTGATAATGCAACAACATGAACAGGTGGCTCACAAAGGTCTAGTTGCGTGTGTAAACTCACTGGGGTAACATAGAATAAAGTAAATCTTCGGCACGTTTCTTCTCCTCTTTGTACTGTTCGGTCCGTTTGAGTACCATTGCCTCCAGATCGTTAGTATAGTGCTGCATTCGGTCTAGAAGATTGTCTACCAGATTCCCGGGAGCGTCGGTACTAGGTTACGAAATGAAAGAAAAAGAGTTTGAAAGAGTCAAACACAATCTGACCATACCACAAACTGGTCAATAAACTAGTATGCACTAACGCGTAAATCACACAAAATTCACTCCCCGAGGTAAGCATCCAATTAAATGGATTCTGTTTATTGAAAACCGAAAAATTCCTTCTCTGTAGACAGATATACTATTCTTTCTCTGATTCTAGCTGGCTCGCTTGTTGTACAAAGAACCACAACTGTAAGTAACTATATGTATGTGCGGCAAATTAAACGGGAGCAACGGAGTGATTTCCTCCAAGTTATGGGGAATGTGAGTGATGGAACACAAGTACCCGCTTCCTCTGACGGAATGGGTATTCTCGTTATCAGTTACTCTCTCGCCTTCACATCTCTTTACTCACCACGGATTCCAGATGATTAGTTAACTACCATAGAAACTATATCGATAAAAACTTATTAGAATGCAATGCAGTTTTTGGAAGCGTACTAATCTCTCTATTTCTCCAAAAAAATAAGGTCCAAGACTTGAAAACAGTACGCGATGGTTTTGCAACCAAATATGAAGCTTATTGATGAAAGCCTGCAATCAGCAGGTCTGTTTTCAACGACCAGATCATATTATGAGGCTATCCAACGTTAGGCCGAAACGGACACCTCATTCACTCATAACTTCAAAGGTTTTAAATTTATCGGGACAGTCGAAGTGTCCGATCAATGAAAAACACCCTGAATATCCATGGGAGTAAATAACAGTCTGATTGGTTTATTTCGCCTTCGACACGAATTCTAGAAAGCGTCATTTATCGCCAGTAGCAAGCCCACGTGTCTCAACCATTGATAGTGAGTGATTACTCGTTATCACATTAACGAGGAACGGAATACACCGACTGTACCGTGCCAATGTTCGATATGGGTGGGAGAAAACAATGGAGATTTGGATGGATGCGAGATTGGAACGTAGGTTTTGCGGTTCAGAAGTAGGGGTGATACTTACACAATAAGCTTTCCGATTGCGCGGAAATCCGGTCGAACTAGAGGGTCATCGTCCCAAGCTCGCCGAATTAACTGAACCAAATCATCGTTACATTCGTCGTGTGGTAGCAAAGTAGGCCGGAAACTGGGTTTGTGTCGAGCACGAACCGCTTCAATTATATCCTAAAACGTAATAAAAGATTCCGGTGAGATAGGTGTGTGCAAGTGATGAAGGGGTAGGTCAAGCAGTCCAAATGTTCACATTCTAGAAGAATACGTTGAGAAAAGCTGTCCCCCATAAAAATTATATAACAAAAGTTTGTTCATTTTTTACGGTTGCAAGCTTGGATTAGCCCATTCGATTGTTAAGAGGCACGAGGCACTCTCAATGGTTCGCGGTTCGAGTCCTGACAGGGACACAAAAGTACACAATGCTGACAAGTCCGATATAGTGTTTTGAACAGTTCTTGTGGTTTATTTTGTAGACTACGCTGTTCTTGTCCTTCTCTAATCTGGGAGAAAACTGTCAACAAGGATCCGTGAACACCAATTGGCAGTCAGGAAACATGACGCACTATCGATGATCTCCCTCCACGAAGAGCAAGAAGGACATCAATTTGACTTCGAATCAATGAGAATTTTTGACCAAGCCCGGTCAAAACACGCCAGAGAATTTCTCGAGGCCTGGCACTCTTCAATCAACTCAATAAACAGGTACATCGAACGGGATCACGTGTTCACATCAATGTAACTCAAGGATCAAATGACGTAACAAAAAGGGTCATGCCGTGTCTTGAGAACGGACGGAAACCGCAATCGGGAAGAAAGGACAACCTCCCCCCTTCCACCCTCAACCCCTCGCACCAGTTCAACGGTGAGCCGAGTCAAACACAGTGAGAACAGGGGACGAAAATAACCGGTGGAGAAGAACACATATATAAACGATCGGGTACAAGCAGAACACTGCCACTTCACAAGCACTGTTGATGTCACCTCGGCTGGTGATGAAACGTTTGCAAATAAATTGCCAAACTCGGAGAACAGGCGAAATGGAATTCAGTTCACCCGAGCTACGAGAACCAATTTTCAACGTAACGTAAAATATCACCACTACCGCTGTTACAACCACGAAAAATCATAGAACTGACACTAAAAGTCCGACGCGCTGCCTGCATGCATACGTATCACAACAGATTTTAACTAGCCAATATATTATGTTCGCGCCCTGTTTTGCTTTATTTACTTCATGCCTAGGACCCATAATCTGTTCAATAACTTTGAGTGTGAGACTGGCCACGATAATGGTCCTGGTGTATTTGGTAATGACAGACTTGTTGCAAAATAAACACTTTCCGGACCGCAATTCACGAATGTCCCACTGACCGGAAGCATTGATTGGGTGGGATAACTCCACAGAATTAGGTTCTTAATCCAAAAATTCCCGATTGTGATACAATATAGGAAAACATGAAAAACCACTGGTAAACCCCAACATGGAAAAAACAATTGCTATCACTCAGTACACATACAAACTGTTGTGAAGTGGGGATTAATAAAAGGAGAGAATATATCAGGTAAACAGTGGCAGTAACACATAATCAGACATTTTTCACGACAAACCTTGGCCTCTGGTTGTTGTTCATCATCAATGAAGAATGGACCTTTGCGATAGATCAATTCTTGACATATGATAGCAAAACTGTACACATCACCCTTGAAAGTTCCTGTGGGATAGTCCCCGTCATCGAAAGGAAGCAATTCTGGCGCGGTCCACAGAAGACCTACAAGGGGTTTGTACAGACAACAACACGTGAATATGGGAAAATATTTCGTATAGTGATGAAAAGAAAATCAGTTTTCATTGATTCAATAAGTTCGCTAAGTTTTGCACACTTTGATAACTATATTTTCAGAATGAATAACTGCAATGGGCGCCGAACAGCAGCCCGCTCGGGGTATAGGAAGAAAGGTGCACTTTTCGAACGATTTTTATCACATGACCCCTTGGTAAACGTATAGCATATGATCGTCCGAACCAAATTGTGCTTCGTGTGTGTGTGTGTACCGATCCAAATCGATTCATACCCACATTCATTGTGAATGCGTGTGCATCTATCAGGCGCAACTGAATCGTCGTTCTCGACTGTCGCATTCGACCGACATATTTTGCGTTACAGTGGTGTTTTGTTGCATGAAAGAACTAGACAGATAGGGGATCAGTGGTAAATCTTTCACTTGTAAACCTAATCTGCGAACTACCGTTCTGTTGTCGCAGTTGTAACGTGAAACCTAATCCACCTAGTTACCGACTCACAGGGTGAAGTAATTCAAAATAAAAACCTTCATTCCAATTGCAAATAACTCTCGCCGGCTCTGGTCATTAGCATACAACAATATGTGCCTCCATCTGATCCTTAATGTTGAAAGAACACATTTAAATGCGTAAGCAGTTATGAAGTCATTCATGGCGGGATGAAATTGAAGTGTAACTGTTGTCATAGACACACAACCATCGATGAAGACAGCAAAGTGCAGCAAACCCGAGAGAGTACTCTTGTGTATCGGCAATCACATATAAGAATAATAGCAAACGAACGGCATCTCAAAGATTATCAGATACCAATGGGATCGTCTGATAACTTCACATGAGTTGATCTTGCGCTTTGCCCATAATCCCGACTATAACCTCAGACGCACACATTCGCTTAATCGCATTCTGTTCGGCTGTCGACTTGTGGACGAACCCGTAAATGCTGTGCTATTCTTTAACAGTGCCGAACTATTGTGCTGTTATTCAGGATATTGAATAAGTTTCAGGGAATACGATATAAGTGAACCCCAAACACCACAACAGCAAGTAGGCCATCTCAGATTCTGGCATGAACAATACAGATTGCGAGTAAATGCTTGCAACAGTGACCATGAAAAAAATGCAGCGCCGAAAATGAGTTTCAAGTGAACTGATCCCAGTTGGAAAATACCTAGTTGATCTTACAAAGAACGATTTTCTCACCTCTCTCTCTATGCGGGAAATTAAGCAAAATAGTATTATTCTAGTCATCACTGAAAAATGATGCTGTAGTCAAAGTGCAAGCACATGCATTTGGGTGATTTGTGTTGTTTGAAATGGATGCAAGGAGCAGTGGATGAGACCGATGTCCACAATAAGAGGAAGTGTTCTGGAAAGGCGGAAGCAGCATACTTAAAGAAACGCAAAAGTCACTCGTGAGAACTCACTCTCGTAGTACGCGTTCGCTCCAATTTCTGTTTTGCTTGATTTCGGCCCACGAACTCGTTTCAGTCCGAAGTCGGTGACCTTGACCGCAAAACGGGAATCCAACAGGCAATTGGAGCTTTTCAAATCTCCATGTGGACCGAAAATCTGGTGCAGGTAGATCATGCCCTACAAACGGCAGAACGGGACGGAGATTAGCAATGCCAGTTAAAATGAACAGATAAGACTGTTCATTTCCATTTATTCAAATAGGGTGGGGTAGAACTTGGGTGACAAAAAGAGACATTTGACTGAAAAAGCCCGAGAACTGGTTTAGTTGATTGACAGTGCTCAAGTGGCTCAATTCGCTATCACTGTTGTGTTCTTCAGAGAATAAAATCAACTAAATCCAACTGTAGCCGTATACAGTTTCATTGTGATCCTGTTCGATAACACGCATCCAATGGGGGATCTAAGGGGTTCCCCAGGCCTTAGAATACCGTTTGTCATGGGTGAAGAACGGGTGTTTGTGTCACCTTCTACTGCTAAGTACACAATGTTGTGACAGAAAGATCGATAGCGGTACTTCTTTGAGTGAGAATCTACCCTAAACTGGCCGTTTAACGCTATGGATGGATGCTACCAATAATTTGTGTAAAACAATCCCTGGAATCATTACGATTGTGTGGAAGGGGATCTACCTCATTATGCATCAAAACTATGAGCTCCGTGACGAACAAATGAACACATGAAGTTTTCGCATATCTAGTGACTTGATCATATTGGTATTATCTCCTACCCCCAACTCAAGTATGTATCATGACCCAAACTGTCCACAGGTTAGCTACAGGTCTAATCGAAACTGAAGCAACGGGTTCCTGTGAAACTTGTGGGTGACAGCCAAGTGTGAGAATATTAACCATGATTTGTAAATGAATAATCTTAACTGAATTTAGTGAACATTTATGCAGTCACACTGTTTTTTGAAAAACAGATCCAATTATCAAGTAAGAGAGGGAGAAGTCTCGGATAGCTACAACGAAAACGAAACAGAAGGTTTCCTCACAGTTAGGAGAAATTATGATCATTCATTTCCCTCGGCTATACAGCTCATTGTGTGGGTGCCTGATTTGGTGTTCTCATCGTGTAGATTGTGTGGCGTAGGCTGTACACCAGATGAGAACAACGGTTTCTAATATATGACAAGTGATGAGGTTTGGTGTTTGCCATCCACCTTGTAGAGACAAAATAAACAAACTTCGTATCACGGACCTGACCATGGATAGTTTTATTTTTTCGTTGACATATCGGAAAAATTAGGAGCAGTAGAAACGTTCACCAAAGCGAAGACCCACCAATACATCACCCCTCGACAAGCTTTAGCATAAAACCAATCGAGCTCCGGGTGTTCGTTTGAAGTAGTGAACAATTCACTATTCGACTCAGAAGTACAAGTTGAGTGCTCACAGATTTGAAATTCATACACAATTTGAGCACATTTGTAGCCATGCGTCCATAAAAATTGTCCTAGATAAGGGTCAAATTTGGTCACATACATGATCGATTCACAAAACCTCAAACGGGAAGCGAGGGATAGCCAGTAAACATTCCACCTATTAGGTTACAACTGAGAGCACAGATGGGAAAGGAAAACGACGAGAGATTGCTATAAACACTACTAGCCACAAAAAAGTGCACACTAGACAGAAAGGGAAGAACATGAGCCGGTGAGGCACGAATGTGACACCTACGCGTTTGGAACGTGAGAAGGTGAGCTTGGGAGGAGACACGCTGAGGTACGAACGAGCGGAAGAACAAAAGGATCGGGACCAAATGAGGGACGGACGGATAGACAGACAGATGGGCACAACTCACGCGACATATATCCTGAATCAGGGACAGCTTGAACATCCATTCCATCGTAAATTGCTCTTTACGGAGAAAGTCTTGCAGACTGCCGCGGGGACAGTACTCACTCACTATGTACTGATGACCCGGTTCCAGACAAATTCCGATCAGTCGACAAATGTGATCGTTATTCATATCTTTCACCTATAAATATATGCGGTCAGATAAAGGGCAAAGTAATCGGGACATTAGACAATTACAATGCAGGTGGATGCGGACAGATCAATTTCGTATAACGAAAATAACGTGTTTCCTGGGCCACATGTTAGGGAATTAAAAAGTTTTTTTAGTCATTATTCATTTACAAGCTTCTACAATAATGTATAATCACAGACTGGCTGGCTATACTGTGGCTATATCAGTTGCCTCCTGAATATCCGGGACGAAATGATCAATCAAAGCCACGACTAAGTGAACTCTTTAGCGATCCTCTATTTGTTAGTTATTGCATGGAGTGGACGTTGCTCGCTTATCTACCAACGGAGTCTAGGAGAAGATGACACGGTTATGAAATGGACTAGGTTACCACGGTGTGTGGAGCATCAGGTTTCGACTTATCTTGTAAATACCTGCCTGTTGAACAGTTGATGTCTCAACTCAATCAGAGATTCTCCTTGTGGCCATAAATGCATCTTATTTTGATGGTATTTGATATCGAATTAATAGTTAGTGGTGTTGATTGATAGTAATCGCGTTGTTGTCGGCCATATGTGTATTGGCGTTAATTTGAGTTTACTGGTTCTCAAACCACTTGGTTTCGGACTAGGTATCAAGCTAGTCATTCTCGAGACATAAAAACTAATTCACGATTTTTTTGTTGGCACACTGACTTCAGGTCAGTTAAGAAGGAGATTTTCTCAAGGTTTCACAACCAATGCTTTTGGGAAACCAAAGCCTAACCAGCAGGGCAGCGGTATGAGAACCGCGGTCGATTGGAGTCGGTGTTCACTTAGGCGCATTTTACACCTTTAGAACGTTGTACTGGTGTCCGACACATTGACCACTTAATCGCCTCGGTGACTTACACGATCAGGAGAACTGGTATCTTTCTTTTGGGAAGTTTAAAACCGACTTCATTAGAATAGTTAGGTATGTGTGGCTCACTGACCAGATCATAGCGTCAGATTTTAGCAGTGTGCCGACTCAATTTACTCAATGAATAAATTTGAAAACGTCCTAAATTACTCAATGACTCAATGACGTGTCGAACTGAATGAGACTGATTCGAGTGAGACACTAAGAATCTCTGGGGTATATGGAATTGCACACGTAAATTAAAGTTACGATGCAGTGGCACTCCCTATTGGTGACAAGTAATAAGAAATTCGGCGAATTACCTTGTTCACTTCTACCGCGGTTTCCTTGTTCGCCTCAACACGACACTGTCGTCGGAGTGGTTTCACGAACACCATGCCACCTTTGTATGTTGCTCGCGTACCGAACGTTTGAGCGCGGAGCAAATGTTCCCGATAGAGACTGCTCTGCATCTCAGTGCTGATCCGAGAGATTTGTGAGTCCTGTTCGGTGCGTGCGCGTGACGGACGTGTACGTTTTCACACGTGTTTGTTTGCAAGAGCGAATTCAAATCCAAGATAGAAAAAAAAGTAAGGACAACAATGAAGACCAGGTGTTAAACAGCTGACAGAGAGGGGAAAAGTTACCCAACAGAAAGTGAGGGAGAGCTCGTTGGGGAAATTTGAATACAAGCTTTTGTGCAGCATAGACAAACAAGTGAAGATGTTAATGATCAATGGATATTTTTAGCTCCCCATTTTCTTCTTTCACGAATTTACGGAAGCGGAAAGCTAGTGGGTAGCGTAACGGGGCAAATCTGAATATGAAAATGGTCTAGATGTATTGTGCAACGATCCAGCCGATTTCAGTAGGTTGGTTGATTGTATTCAGATCACATTTTCAGTGTTTTTCTTCCAGATAAGAATAGGGGAAGTATAAGGTTAGATTAACTGGGACCTGTCTAAATTATCCATATAAATAGATAGGCGGGAAAGGGATAAAAAACAGAGAGAGAAAGAAAATAAGCTTGTGCTAATGATATTGAGAGAGATATGCGAAAAACAGTGGGGCCGTAAAGAGAGCAGCATACCTTTTTCCGCCGCGAGTTGTACGAATCCAGTAGGGGATTGTGTTCACCCTGGGACAGAGATGAAAATCGGATGGGATAGGAAGAGGGGACAATGGTTAAGTGAATTGAAAATGGCAACGGTGCAACGATAAAAAAACGGGTAGAGAGCGAGATGGACGGTCCGTTCGAGAACGTAACGGAATATGTTCATTATTGAATTTGGCATGATTATCATTTTTGTGCTTTGCACCCGATTGTTCACGTTTTGTGTGACAGAAAGCGACAGTTGGAATAAGAGCTGAACAAATTATCATCATGAATGACAAATAAACAATTTCAATGACCCGTTTTGCTCCACGCTTTTTCTCTTTCTGTAAATCTGTGCTTGTGTGTCTATAAGTAGGTATGTGTGCTGTGCTTCTACCGGAACCGATAAATTCACCATAAAAATAGTCGGCAAAAAAATAAATCAAGTTGAATTCTTCGAAATTAACCAGGCTGGTTTGGGTTTGACAATTTACCAGTGCAGTTAAAATCAAAGGGGTTTAATCAAGCAGCACTATAGAAAGAAGTGTCCAGAAAACGAGGGCCACATAAGTTTGAGGTACACATCACGGAGCACAGTATCTGATGCCATTTAACATCCCCGCGGATTGAACGTGAGAGCAGGAGAAGCAAGAGTGTCACAGTCCGGTTAGACTAACGCAATGCACTGGGGTGAGGTGGGAGGGATTCGCTTTCGAGGGAGGTGGCTCCGTTCGGCTGGAACCAACCGCCGGACGAGTTTGTTTCACACGAGATGTTAGGTGATTATTTTGGTTGTTGGAATATACAGTTCTTGCACATTGTTAGATAAACACATACTCCCAGTCCACTACTCGCAAGTAATTTAAAAAATTAGAAATAGACATATGATAAGCGAATGGTGAGGAACATCCAGCCATGGAACTGAAATGGCGCTTTTTTTCTATCTGTAATGAATCCGAATTTCGTAAAAATATTACGATATAAATTATGATTATTTGGGTACTTGAATATTGGTTGGGTGGTATAATATTATTATTTATTAAACATGTATTGGTTTTACACCTCTTTTCTAAAAATAGACAGTGAGTGGTTGAAAGGCAACCATCTCTCTGACAACGGACAATTTGGATTGTTTTCTGTTTGTCCCAGGGCTCCAAGCCCTCCATTTTAATGTCACGGAGCTATGAAAAAGCACCAGGGGAAAGGCCAAAAAGTGTAGTTAGTAGTGCTACACATACTATAAACCCGTATGGGGCGTCAATGGAGCGGACCCATCATACAGGTCTTGCGCTGAACAATGCGATACTACTACGTGGTCATACGGTTGAGCTAGTGGCAAGAAGTCGAATGTGACACGCTATTTAGAACAGCGGAAAATCCAGAGAAACGATTTTCCAAGCGACTGTGATCAATTGATGTAATCTCGCACAATGGTAACCTCACCAGTTTTCGTCGCCTCTACGCCTTTTCCCNTTTTCCCATCGAGCTTTAGCCAAAACCTGCAGTCCTTTAGCCTCGACGCACAAACTTTAGTCACGCCGAAGTAGGCGAGCCGGATCAAGAAGTATAGGAATATTCTGAAGTCAACGGAAGTTGAAAATAAATTATTTTTTACAAATGTTGAAGTTGTAAAGCTGAGATGATAAATAAGAAGGTGAGGGGGCCGCACGCTACA